CTATATTGGAATGACGGCGGGGACGTTCAAGAAGAGGCATGCCAACCATAAAAAATCACTAACTGTTCCTCGATATTCAGCGGAAACAGAGTTATCAAAGTATGCGTGGAAACTCAAGAAAAGCGGGAAGCAATACAACATCAAGTGGAGCATACTAAAGCGTGCCCGTGCGTATACGGCTGGTGCAGCAAGATGCAATCTGTGCCTTGAAGAGAAGGTTTGCTTACTGGAAGCTGACAAAAGCAGGATATTGAATAAACGCTCAGAAATATTCGCGAAATGCTGTCATAGAAATAGTTTTAGCGCGCGCAAATTTGAACGCACGCGAGATGCGTCAGCAAACCGTTCGTTTAGAGCACGTCATTGAATCAACTTCATTCGCCTGAAGATCGCTTTGAAAGAAGCGTGAAACACAGTGTAGCGACAAATATATTTTAAGATTAAAGAATTATTTAAGCTCTATCGTATATTGGTATTGAGCACTCTTCGTTCAATTACGGACAACAAGAATAAATTATATATATATATATATATATATATATATATATAAATAATTAAATAAATAATATATAATAATATATATTAAACGTTATAATATATAATAATATATAATAAACGTTTGAAAACCTGTAAAGTTGTTAATCCTCCTCCTCCATCACGTCATCAAAGTCGTCTTCCAGATCACTGTTTTGCACGAAATCAAGCTCATCTTCATCTTCTACTTCCTGGCCAATTAACAATTCGCTAACATCGTCAGGGAAACAAACACTGCTCCAGATAACTTCCCCTCTTTCATCCCAGCCATGATTTGTGGGCCAGATCCAGGATCGAGAATCAAGTGGCTAGCTTTCCTGAAAATCGATGCAACATAGTTTGTACGGATGATATGAAGCTTCAGATTGGTTTCACAAGGTGGCAAGAGGCTTATGTCGATTACTTTCTTCTCTTTTTCAAACCTTTGCAAGAAGATCTTATGTCGTAGCTTGTTGACTGATGACATACTATGGCTTCCATATAATGCACAAACAAACGATTCTAAGCGTTGTGAAATATGATCAGGAACCTGAGGACTGTTGCCTAGCTCAGCAAACAGACGAATATATTCTTGGCGTTTCAGCATCGTTTTCCAGAAAGCTTTCTTTCCTTTTCTGAAGAAACTGGAAACGTAGTCATTACCAGAAAAAGCGTGTAAACCGACGAGAGCTTTCCTTTTCTCAAGATCCAGTGTTGTCGACGTCACATCTATAATCTACCTTAGCTTTGCCTGTTCCGTTGTCGATTAGTACTTTAGCAGCACCAAAATCATGCGCCATAAACAGAACTAGGATATCGATATCTCCAGAAGGACATCGAATCATGTGTGTATCTCCAGGAGGTACGTTCGCGGCGTGGGCCAAGGCAACAAGCTTTGTGTCTGCCTCTTCGTGGTCACTAGCTAAATATTCGATAACTGATATTTCATCCCTTGTTATTTTCGTACACTGAGATTTGTTGGAAAATGGGAAAGTTTTACCTGATAGATCATGACGACCTTCTTCAATTGCTTTTTGAATAAGATTGAAAAGCATTTCCTTGTTTTCCCCATTGCGAAGAAAACTTGTGAAATCGTAAGGTACCTTCATATCAGGACTGGTCAGAACATACCGCTCGCTTACACCTCTTGCCTGGCGTTCTCCTCCTTTGATGCTATTGTCCTTGTACGTATCACAAACTATGAAGATAGTGGTGTACTGAGAAGGAACAGTGGCTATTATTCTAGATGCCATTTCTCTTATTGTTGATCCAGTGCCAACCAAACTACGTATTGCAGCGGCAAGATCTATCAAGTATGTTCTCATTGTCGAAGCGGGTGGTAGTGCGTCGAAGTTTACAACGGTTAGGTCGCTCATGGAGGCGTCGTACAATTTGCTTTTGACGGTCTTTCTTATTGCACCATCTGGTGTGCTTAGTGGTATTGAAACGGGTGCAAGGGGAAAACACAACGCTTTCTCAAGATCAACCCCTGCCTCGTGCTTGTTGGAATAAGCAACTAACATTCCCAAGATATCTCTCTGAAATGTAAGTTCTTTTGTCTTTCCTTTGCTCTTTAACTTGGTTTTAACGGCCAAACTCTTGAAGGTCTTGAGCGTCTCCCTCTTGATTGGGCTAAAAAAACTGTTTTGGACGATCCTGTTGATTCCGTTGTAATTCTGTCCTGAAATTTATCCATTAGCTCCTTTCCTCTTGATTCAAGTGTGAGTAAGCAGTTGCGTACATTCTCTGGAGCTGGATACCCCGACACCAAGTTGAACAACTCATCCGTGTCAAGATCAGGTTGGAAGGGATTTATGAATTGTGTCCGCAATACAACCATTATTTTTCCACCATCTTATTCGACTTTAGAATTTCACTGCTTCGTCGACATTTTCGTGGATTTGACGTTGTAGTGGACATTCCTGATAGCTTCAGTAACGATTCGACAAACTTGGTTTGATATGGTCTATTCATGACCCACTTTGCAACAGTATTTTCTTTTGCAGCAAACTGCGTGACTCCACCTGAAAAACAAAGAGAATAGTAATACATCTGAAGCATATAACTATGGCGTTCGTCTTCTGTAAGGAAAGATTGTTTAAGAAGATGCATCGCATTAATACAACAGATGTTTTAATACATAAAAATGAAATTACCCGCAGTCTTTGCGTTTCTCATGTAACTTTGTTCGCCTGCCATGTCGATTGCCTGTCCTATGCCAAGTTGATTTCTCCGCACGGACAAACCAAGATCTTCGATCTCCTGTCTTGCTCCTGGGTGAGTGCTGTCAATACATTCTAAGCCACCGACATAATATGTGCCATAGCGAGCATAATGAACCCGATTGGTAGCGAAGCACAAAGGCAAAGATTTTTTCCAAATGAGCATTCTCAGATCATAATCATTGGTATTGATGGAAAAGTGCAATTTCTGCTGACGATCTCCATATATTTTGCCCAATACTGGGGTGTTTTTCCAAATTCTCCGTTCAAACATTTGTTTTTTTGTGCTTGGCATTGCTTGACATATTCTTTACCAGTGTCAGCGTTAAGAATGTTCGTTAAACTTGTTTCTTGTGCGGGGTCACTTTGGGCGAACTCCTCAACTTTCTCTGGTATGGTTGGTAAATATTGTTCTATAAAGAGCCTTTCCAATGCTTCGGAAAAAGCTTCGTGAACAAGCCAACACCGATTGTAGTGCTTTCCACTCATCACTCCGGTAATGCTTCCAGAGCTACACAGACCCGCTTGAAATAACACATCTTCGAATCCACTACCCTCCACGAAACGCCCAATAACCGCAAAAAAGGCCATTATTGCATGAAAATACCCTTGATGAATTATAATGTCGGACCACGCATCTGGATTGTTCCAAACCACATGAAAAGCCTTGATTGCAGCTCCCACGTCGAGAGTAATATGAGTGTAAGACATGTTGGATTGCTTCGCTAGCTGTCTAGATTGATGGAACATTTCTACGATGGTGGAGTATTAGGTTATTGGGGAAGAAATAGGAGGCAAGTATGTCATCAGTGTTGCTTTGCTATGAGCTTGCTGAAAACGACGCACAATCCAACCCACGAACCTAGGTTTTGTCTGATTGGCAGAGTTTAGATATCGCACTGATTTCCATAACACTAGCAGCTTTGAACAAAACATCTCTGCATCAGAAAGAGCTGGTCTGGTCTGTTCTTCAGCAAATGATGGTGGTTCTGCTTTTCGGTTGACTGCTACTCGTTTATCAACATTGTCGCTGGAGACAACGATCGATCGCTTCTTTGATTTGGGAATAGTTATATCCTCTTGTCTCATTACAGCTGCAGCAGAATGCTCCTGAAACACTATGCCTGGTGTATTATGAATTGAACCAGCACCAGATGCAGTCTCAACATTGCGATCAAAGTTATCCCACCAGAATATCGTTGATACCTTCAAGAATAAAAAAATAAGCAGCTTAATTTTCATGTTATTTTCGAGTTTACTTTCAATCGTTGTAAAAACGGAAATAGTAAATACTTACTTTGGAACCTTGTGCTGCTGGTTGAAGAGGTAAGTTTAGACACACAGATTGGCAGTGCGCCACCAGCTCAGCCTGAGCAGTCTCGATTTCATTGACTGCGTCATATGCAATGGAATGTCCCAATCTTGCCAATATAGTTATCGGAAGTTTTTGACCACTCATACTATGAAGGCCAAGTCCTAGTGATGCATGTTTTGGCGTAAGAAACTTTTCCCATTGAAACAGCGTGAATGATATCCTGACAAAACGAATCAGTCAGTCGATCCACCCTTTCGGCAGTGACACGATGACTTCCTTTTGGGGACAAAAGTTCCTTGAAAAACAATTGCAGAAGCCCTGGATATTGTCCCTCTCTGGACACCAAACTCTCGACTGTCGGAGGCCACGGAAGTGGGTCAGCTTCTTTTAAAAACGCGAAGACAAACTCTTGCAGGAACGATGCTGCTCTTTTGATAGTGAATTGTTGAATACATGGAGAGCTTCTTGAATGAATTTGATTGTGCAGGCATTCTCTGCTGATCACCACTTGTGGGATATGATATTCTGCTTGAAGAAAAACTAGTTGGTCACCAAATGATTTCGTAAGGCGTTCCTTAAGCTTGTATCTGCTTTGCTTCGTTCCACTATTACCAGTATATCTCGTCATTTAGTGTTTCCATCGACAAACATTGCTGCCCTCCTATAATATCATTCTCTACCAAAGAAAGAACTGCATCGTAGTCACCGAGTTGCAGCTCATCACTAGTACTTTCAGTTGGTTCAGCCATTTTCCCGACGACCCTAGTATATTCTAGATAGCACTTCTCGTGTTTTTGAAATTCCTTCGCTATTAAATCATTTTCTGTGACGGCTCTGATCATTTCTAAGTCATTCTGAGCAACAGTTGCTTCTTTAAATGTTCTCTCTGCAGTATCGGTGACAATCCTAGACAGTGGCTGACGTACACCTTTCACCTTTAGGTCTGTCTTCTTACAAATCATACAGATATTCGGAAAGAGTCCTCTGGAGCTAGTAGCTTCGGCACTTTGTGATGCCTTTCTTGTTGTTCTTTGAAGTTTGCTACTACAACCTTGATCGTTTTCTTTGCTTGCTTTCCGTTTCAATAACGCTTTGGCGTATACAAACTTTTGAAAACATTTTCGATGGTAGAAGTACTCAATTTCTCCCAAATTCTCTGGAATTTTATTGCATTGATCGACGTGATGGTTTTCACTGCCAAGACTCTCTCGTATTTTCTTGCATTCAAGCAGAGTTTCAAATGTGTTTGGATTTGGTCGAACTAATTTATCACCAGATGTGTCTATTGAGTCATAGTGAACGATACAATCAGCCATTTCTACGTACAATTTTTTAAAACCTAATTCTGATGAAGTAATGCTCGAGAAATTCGTGATAGCTAATTCTGCAAATAATTGTGCTCAGTGAATACTTTTATTGACACATTTTTAAACGGGCAAGCAACTTCCGCTTGCAGCTGTTTACATTCAATGGCAAAGTGGAAATATTTTCGCGCGTTTTTCCATGTTTATATCACGACGTCGATTGTAATTTGTTAGCAACCTAAGCACTTGAGATATGGTTCCTTTACAGAGAAATAACAACTTTGATGTTGAAGCAGCGATTTTTTACCCAAACCAGCAAATTAAAACAAGAAAATCGTGAATTTGAAATATTTTGCCAAACCGCGAGAATTGATCGACGTGCTATCATAGCAAGATTTAAGTTAAATTTTAGTACTAACATCTAAATGTCATCACAGTAGGGCTAAAAAAACTCTACGGAGATGTAAACATAAACGGCTTAGTTGCTTGTTTTTACGCAACAAAACATGACAGTTATGCCAACAATAGTTGCACTTATTTACACTACTGTTGGTCTATATGCACACTTCAAGTGTTTTCCTTTCCAACAATAAACGTCACGATATAAACATAAAAAACGCGCGAAAATGTTTTCATTTTATTGTTGGTCGTAAATGGCTGTAAACGAAATAAATAATTGCAGTAGAACGACTGCATTAAACGTAATTGAAATATTAACAATTTAAATAGTGAAAACAAGGGTTTGTAGCGTGAAAATGAGGCTTTAAAGTTTGAAAACGAGACTGGAGTATAATTAATGTTCAACTCAGCGCCCAAAAACTGACATAGGTGGCCTGATTGAGCAAATTCTTCATTACTTTTCGCTTCAATCGAGCAGATATCGGTTTTGCACCAAAACGAGGCTTTAATCGCGAAAACGAGGCTGAAGGCCCCGCCCAAAGCCCGTATACCATCGATTTTCGAACTCAGCGCCCCCAAATTGACCAAATACACGTGGTCTCATAAATTTCCCCGTCGAGGGACTATTCCCCCCTTCTCCGCCTGGTCTATAAGAGAATGGAATATTCCAACAAAAGCACAATCATCTTTCTCGTCGGCAACTTAAATACCATTTAAGCGAGCTAAAGAAACTTTAATGTAACGAGACAACGCAAGAGATCCGCTATATTAGTAAACTGTTGCAAGTAAAATGTAAGAAAAAGACTCACCGTATACTATCTGATAAAACCCATGAGGATGAAAACACAACCCTAATTCCCAGACTTTGATAAGGAAACTTGCACAAACTTTTTCCGTGTTCACTTGAAGGCTAGTAGTGGGATGGGAAAAGTTGAAATTCCCCAGTGGATGAAAAAAATCGATAGACCAACAGAACATTTCAATATAGCGGCTCCTTCTTAGCGTGAGGATTCAAACATAATTAAGAAAATGAAGCCCGGATCCTCGACCAAATCAGTATAATTATTCTTAAACGATGTCCGTTCCTCGGAACTGCAATACACCATATTATACTACACTGCTGGGAGGGAAACGTTCCTAGACTCTAGAAGCATGGCTTTACAATCTTAGGGAAAGTACATTTATTACACCGAGGGAGGAGGATGAAGATGTCTTGAAAAAAGCTCATATTTTCACAGGGCCCCTGTTGAGGTTATCGGTAAATTTTCAATGCCCCCCCTCTAGAATTCGGAATCGAAGGAGTGCAATCCGGAATTCTCTCTTGTCATAGATACAATTTGCAGTTCCTCAAGATGTCTGATATACTCAAGTGCTTCTCCTCAACAAAACTAGCGATCTGCTGCTTCTTTCATCTCACTAGCGCCAGATGAAATGGCACCGTCTTTAAAACATTTTAAATTGGCTCTAGGGGTGGAATTATCAACAAGTTGTTGTTGTCCATCATTCAGCGTATTCGGAGTCTTGAACACGTTCATGTGGTGGCCAGGATTTCCTGGATCAGGGTAATGTGCTGGAACCTTACAGTATGTTGCCCCCACCCAACGTATCTCCCGGCATCTGTTGCAAATGTCTTTGCATGCCTGTCAAAAATGCATGCAAAAGTGCCAGCATGCTTCAATTTCTTTAATTTCCACCCCGTTTGTACGAAATATACCATAAACATAGAACATATCATTCTTGCAAACTGTATATGCTTTTTTGCTTTTTGACGCGTAAATTACTTCACAAACCTGGCGCAAAAAATTTAAAATAAGCTATAGGTGATTTCATGTATCCATTTAGAAGAGCAGATTAAGGATATCTTAAAACTGAAATCGGTTTCGAATACAACCATCAGGGGCGTAGCAAAGCATCTGACATTTGGGGTGGGGGGGGATGTCAGAGGATTATACGTGTAATAATTATAATAAAGCTTTTTGTGATGGATTGGCACTCTTATACTAAGGTTTGGGAGAAAAGGGGGGTCTGGGAGTCCTCCCCCAGAAAATTTTTACATTTTCGAAGCTCTGGGACTGAATTTCTGGCGTTTTCTAAAGCAAATTTCGCAAACAAATTGCATGTAAATTGACTGTATTTTACAAAAATGGTTATCATTTCACAAAAATAATTACTTTATTACGCAAATTTTACCTGAAACTGATGTAAAAATATTAACTTTAATTTGCTGGGGTCAAACCTTTGAAAAGTTTAGAGCCCCCCATTCAGTATATCAAGAACTTTCAGAGCCCCCCCTTTAATGCCAGAAAATATTTCGGAGCCCCCCCTTAACATCTTCATCCCCCCCTCGGCATAATAAATGTACTTTCCCTTAATATATAAGAAAGATTCCCCCCAAGACCCTTCAAACGTTCGACCGATTACGCTCCAGCCGGTTTTTGGCAAGGTGTTTACATCAATAATTCGTCATAGAATTTACTCATTTCTGATGGATAACAAATATATAAAAACAAAAATTCGAAAAGGTTTCTGGGAAGAGGTGTCTAGCACGATAGAGCACACCGAATTACAAACCATACGCGCAACAATAAAAGGCATTTGATAGTCACCCTACTCGATTTAGAGAACGCGTTTGGGAAAGTTGATCATCAACTCCTTACCACTGTACTAGAACACCACTATGTCCGACTGCTGTAATAAAGCTTATCCAAAACCTGTATGATAACTACACCATTTCAGCAGGCACAGAAAGCTTTATTACAAACCCAATCTTAGTTGGTAAAGGATTTCTTCAACGTGACTGTCTTTCTCCCCTTTTATTTAAGACGTGCGTTAATATCCTCATCAAATGCATAGAATATAAACGTGTACAATGTATTGGCTACTCATATTGTGAATACCTTCGCCCCACACACTAGTTCCAGTTCGCAGACGATACTGCATTAGTTACAACATCCGAAGAAGATAACCAAGCTCTCCTCGACGTATTCGCTAAATGGTGCCGTTGGGCACGAGGCTTCCAATTATAGTCAATTATTAATTACCAAAATTAGTGAGATTTATAACAAAATATTTTCGAAGAAAATAAGGAATTTATGTAATATGATTTATCAGAATAAAATCGCCTTATCTAAGGTGCTTCCATAAGCAAGAACTAGACATGGCGAAGTAGGTGTTAAGCCGTTACAAAGATTAAAACTCTTAATATTATTAGTTTGGCGCCATACTTAAAATAGAGCGCGAAAAGCTTGCAAGGAGGTGAGATGTGTGGTTGATATCATTATAAAATGGACAGCTACGCAAAGCAATTGTCATTCGACTACAACTGTACTGGTGAATAGATCAACATTAGATTTATAATTGCATATATACGTATATAATTCAATAAAGTTTCTATTATTATTATTATTGTCATTATTATTATTATGATTATTATTATTAAAACAAAGTTGTCTATATGGTCACAAAGGCCCAATATTTTTTTTGGGTTGATAATTGCCTTGAATTTAACCCAGAAATTTCTCAGGTTTTTCAATCTTCACAGCTCTGATTTAACCATAAAAGTATAGCTTCATAGATCTCTGTGACATTACAATTACAACCTTGAAGATATGATTATCTGACAACATCGACCTCATTCTGTCACTGCAGAGATGACAGATATTTGTACATTGTAAAGTATATATTGCACATTCTATAAACGTTTTCCAATATTCACACAAGAATGGATTGTATCATAATTAACAATCCGTGATTTAATAAATATTTATTTTCATCTTGTTTAATTTCTTGTTTTTTTTTTAAGCATTAAGCATTTTCCCATATAAATACATTAACCAGGCTGGCCCTTGTCAAGGGTTTAAGTAATTACATATAGAATTATCTGTAGGTTCTTATGAGCCATTGGGAAAACGAGATGAAAGTACAATGAATAATACTAAAAGTAATGACCGGATTGACTACTTAAATAACTGCAATAGAATAACAAAAGAAAATGCATTGCACATCAAAGGCCAGTTTTTGTAAAGATAAAGCTTCTATCACTGTTGCCACGGAAACCACTTTTTCCCGATTTCACAGGTACAACTTAATAAAGGAATACCGAATTTTTACGCTTTCCGAAAGTCGGGCAACATCCCGAGTGCATGGATCACGCAATCCTGCACGGAAAACCATTTGGTAATTATTCTATAAAATAACTACAGTGAAACAACAGTTAATTTATTAAATTTATTGATGAAATTTGCAATTCTCACAAGAATCGTCAACTAGCCAATCAGAGGCAGAGGAATTCGCTACCCCCCACGAATGTTCTTAACGAATGTTCTTAACTTAATGCTTTTATAGTTTATACATGCAAAACGTTTAAATATAGTATAATAACATAACAGTTCTAGTTCACTGCTGCTTATTAAAGTTAACGTTGACATTTCCGATTGAACAACCGCTAAATAAAGAGCCAACGTTTGGAAGATTGTCGATCTCGATCGATTGTGAAGTGAGAGTTGTCGTCGCACTTGACATTGAATTGGTCCTTTCAACGGTACGCCTTCGCTGCACAGCAAAATGTCGATCAGATTGACCAGTTTCATTGCCCAGAGCTTCAGATAATACTTCACTACAGCGCTTTAGCTGGGATGTAGATGGTCTACGATTGTAGTGCTGCAAGGACTGGTCGTTGCGATGGCCCGAAATTGACATGATATGGCGGTTAGTTAAGCCAGCATTTGACCAAAGCGTGATTGAAGTGGCTCTTACACAGTGGTTAGTATAGATCTTGGATAAACCAGCAGCTGTACTCAGGGGCGAAACTAGCCCCTTTTAATTAGGGGGGTGTCTGGCAGAATTGCCCTGCCAAAACCAGTGATGCCCTGCCAAAAAGTACCAAAAAATTTTTTCCGCAAAAATTATTTTGGCGACCTCCCCCCACCCCCCC